ATGGTTTTGAAGACTAAGCTGAGGAACTTTTATTTAACTTAAGCATTTTCATGCTTTTTTTATTTTGCTTTCCTAGAATTTTAACAAGAAAAAAATCAGCTTCAGACTTTCAAATGATCTTGAATAGGGGAAGAAAATTAGTTTTATTCTGAGGATATTCCTTTGCCTTTAATGGTCTTTTCTTTGATATTCTGTACAACTTTATCATTAGGTCACAGATTATTTATGTACCAAATATTATACTTTAAACATTTTCATATTCTGTGATCTTTGAATTATTTATTTTCAAATTTCAGTTGGGAATCCTATTTCCTACTTAAGCTCAGGACTTTATAATCTCTGAATTGAGTGCCTTTGAGTTACACATAATATTAGAAATCTCATAGTAAATGTAAATAAGGTCGGAGGATATCATATAGAAGCTGATAATAAAGCATTAATGTATAAATAGAACTTATTTTTGTCAAAAATGAGATGTACATTTTTCATGATTTATATATGTTCGGTTCTTGGATTTACTGCTATTTTGAAAATAGCCATGCTCATCATCTTTCCAGTCAAAGTGAGTACTTTTTGTGGTTAATATATATTTTTAGTATGTTTTAAGAAAAATGGGAATTACTTTTGTGTATCTGTACAAATAATAAATACCCATTTGGAGAAAGAATAAATAACATATAAAATGAACCAAAAAAATAACTCAGTTGAAACCAGAATTTTTTTTCCAAGTTTGATTTTTTTCTAGTTAGATTTAACTTTTAGAACTAATTGCTAGTTTTTATTCCCTAGCGATATGTCCATAGATTCATAAATCACTTTTGTCCTTTCAAAATTGATCCTCATGGTGAATTTAAAGGAAGCTTTTAAATGCCTTCCCTATCTCTACCCCTAGAACTGTAGTTTGAATGGTTTTAATACAATAATTTGGCTGTATAAAGAGACTACATTTCTTGTTTTTGTATTTGGCTATATCTCTTTCATGAGATGCTTTTGTTTTTTTCCTGTCTTATTGTAACATCAGAGATTCCTTACCCTTACATAAATTTAAGTCAAATTATTTAAATAACTGAATTTTTACAAATCTTGGGAGTAAAGATAATTAAAGTTTGAGTATATTAGTAAAATTATTTCATTTCACTTGTATGAATTAATCAAATTGGAATTATATATGGTTCTTGCCCCTTGTTTGTTTCCTAGCCAAATTGCTTACAAACAAAATAATTATTTCTTCAGTCACAAGTAAGTTGTATTCTCACTGGAGAAACCGGTAATTTTCATCTAGTACTTCACACTGACAGTAAGATCTGTTTTTGTTTTCTTACCAAATACTTTGCATACTTTTCATTATTTTTAATTGGAATATTTTTAATAAAGTATTAAGTGTCAGCTGAAGTCTTATATGAACTAATATATATGCAGATTTTTGTGTTGGTCACCTTTTGCCTTATAACCTTTGCCAGGTCTTCTTTTAAGCTGCAAGGGCTAAAAAACAAGATTAAGCCAACTAATAATTATTTTTACTTGGCTATCAGTAAAGAAGAGGTCCTTAAGAGGAAATATTCTAGAGTTCCATGCTAAATTACTAGAGATATATAAGTATATCTTTCTTTTTCAAAAAATCAATTTGGCTTGAAACTTTTAGCAAGGTAGGCAAAATTAAATGATTAGTGGTAGTCATTGGTTTTTTACCAAGCATTTAGTAGCCAACATTTTATCACATTTCAAAGTCTTTAAAGAGGATTGATTGCCATCATTAATAAGTAAATTTCAACATCAGATGTAAAAATAGGGTCACTGTGGCTATCTAAGCTAATTAAAAATAAATAGAATTTAAAATTTACTTCCTCAGTCACACTAGACACATTCCAAGTGCTTAGTTAACCACAAGTAACTAGTGGCTACTGTATTGGACAGTGCAAATACAGAGTCTGTTCATCATTGCAGAAAGTTCTATGGAACAGAGGTGCTCTAGAATATTGGACTGTTAACGTTGAAACTGTCAGGAGTTAGATTCCCCTAAAGATGAACCCATGTAAAGAATAGAAAAGGATAATAAGAGTGCAAATGGTAGATAACTTATCAATCGCCTAGAATGATGTGTTGAATCATAACTTCAAGTAATTTGAACCTAAATCCATTAACTACATTAAAAGAAAAAAGTCACAGTAGTTTCCTCCCAGCCACAGAGTTTGCGATTCTTCTAAAAGTCCATATTTTGCCCTGCACAAGCCAAACTTCTCAAGAGGGTTATGCAAGGAACCCCATGGTGGTCCAGTGGTGGACCTGGGTTCAATCCCTGGTGGAGGAACTAATATCTCAAAAGCAACACAGACCTAAAAGCGGGGGTGGGGGGGGGTATACAAATTCTCTCTCCACTGTAAAAGTCATTCACAGCTCTATAAAACTGAGTGAACAAAGACTCTGTTGCTAAATCCTTTAGGTTAGATGTGGGTAAGGTTTGGTGTTTTGTTTTTTATTTTTTTTTATTTTTCATTTTAACATTTTACCACTTTGTTCTTAAAACAGCAGGCTTCTCTTAAAACTTACCTGATGACACTCCTGCTGTTTCTCTGGCTACCCCTTAGTCTCCTTTTGGGGTTCTTCTAGCTGTCTCCAGGCCCTTTTCTCTCAGCCTCCCTGAGTGGTTTCATGCACTCTCATGGCTTCAAATGAACATCTGTATTCTGATGATTCCTTTTCTGTGTGGTTGCAGCCGAGAGCTCTCTTCCAAACTCCAGATACACATCTAGTTGGCATCTCCTTTTGGGTGTTCAGATGGCTCCTCAAATTAGGTCAAGATATATAGCCTTCACCCAAAACTTATATGGCTTATCTTAGCAAATGATGTTACCATCTACCCAGTTTCACAAGCCAGAAACCTGGATGCCATCCTTGAATCTTTGAACTCTCATGCAGACATCTAAGAATCAAGCTTTTCGAGTTTTACCAATTCTCAAATTCAGCCACTTTCACCTTACCTACTGATAACCACTCTAGTGTAGGTCCAACCTAGACCACTGTACCTTCCTCCTCAGGTGTTTTGCACCCCCACCTCCCAGTCAAGTCTCCACGTTACCCAGCATGTTCTCTAAATAAACTCAAATGTGAGTCCCTCCAGTCCTCAAAGCCCTTGAACGAACAGCTCTCTGTTGCTTTTACATCAGGGTAACTTGACCACAGCCTACAAGGCTTCCAGTCTGGTCTTCACATGTTCACTCCTTGCTCCGTAGGTCTCTACTTTTAGCCCATCTGCTCCCTTACCTCTTGCCCTGGCACATGCAGTCTCCTCTGCCTGGACAATCTTTCCCTGTCCCCACCACAAAAGTCACCCCACTTGACCTGGCTAATTTCTACTCATCCTTAAGGTCTCATTTAGACATTATTTCCTCCTGGACACATTCCTTGAGAACCCTTCCCCTCAAACAAGGTAGGTATTCACTTCATGTGAACTCCTAGTATCTTGTTCTGCCCCTCTGGTGCATCTTGATACTGTTTACTTGTTTGTATCCCTCAGTGGACTGCAAGCACTCAAGAACAGACTTGCTTTTTTCATTGATTAATCCTCTGGTACAGGACTTCCCTGGTGATACAGTGGATAGTAATCAACCTGCCAATGCAGGCAACATGGGTTCGATCCCTGATCCAGGAAGATTCTACATGCTGTGTAACAACTAAGCCCGTGTGCCACAAGTACTGAGCCTGCCTGCTGCAACTACTGAAGCCCGAAAGCCTAGAGCCTGTGCTCTGCAACAAGAGAAGCCACAGCACTGAGAAGTCTGCACACCTCAACTAGAGAGTAGCTCCTGCTGGCTGCAACTAGAGAAGGCCCATGTACAGCAACAAAGACCCAGCGCAACCACAAATTTTAAAAGTTAAAAAAAAATTTTTTTAATCCTCTGGTACTGGGTGTGCAATAAATATTTTTGTGAATAATTGTATTAATCATGCCTTTTTAATTGCTTACATTTTCTGGTGTTTTGATATCTGGGGCCTTGCCAAGACTGCCCTTCCCAGGACTAGCTAGTTCTGCGAGATAGCAAATGAGTCCCCTTATGAGTCTGACTTTAGTATGTAAGCCAGCCAGTGGGAAGCCCCTACTCTCCTATCACCTCCTTTATCAAGCTCACAAGTCAAGGCATTATTCCTCTGCCACAGATCCCAGGGCCAGGTACCAACAGCTCTGGACAGCCCTTAAATCTCAAGGCCCGCTGATCAGTCTTAGAGAACCTGCTTAGCCTGCTTCCCAGCCTCTGCTATTCCCTCCAACAAAACTCAACAAAAGCTCTCAGCCATGCTTTTTTTCCCCTTGCTCCCTCTGCCTCCTGACCCGCCCTACTGCATCCCCGTATGGACTTAAAACTTTGCATATGGTAAGTTTAGATTGGTTTGATATGAAATATTTTTTGCCTATGGACAAGATAGTCGGAAAGAATAATGGGGGCGGGGCGGGGATGAGAACTGTGTTAGGGTGGTTTATATATGGCTTTTTCCTTACATTTCTAGAATAACAGGGAGCAGAGGCTTCCCTGGTGGTCAGTGATAAAGAACCCGTCTGCCAATGCAAGAGACAGGATTTCATCCGTGGGTCGGGAAGATCCCCTGGAGGAGGAACTGGCAACCCACTCCAGTATTCTTGCCTGGAGAATTCCATGGACAGAGGAGCCTGAAGGGCCACAGTCCATGAGGTCGCAAGAGTGGGACACGACTAAGCGACTAAACAACAACAAAGCTCATTCTAATGCCCACCTCGAAAGACGGGAGAGAAGATAGTGAAGCCACCAGGAAAGGGGTTGGAGGAGCAGAGATGACAACTCTGTTCTCGACGGAACCTCTGGGCTCGGATGAGGCGGTATCAGGTTGGGGCAGCCTCTCTTCTTTAGAGGCCGGAACCCTGGCGAGTCGTTTGGACGTTTCCCAGTCGGCGGTGAAAGCTCGGTTCCCGGCCCTCCCGGAAGTTGTTGCACAACGTTTCCGGGTCGACTTGTACTGGAGGATTCCAAATGGGTCGCAGCCGCAGCCGCTCCCCACGGAGGGGTGAGTCTAGAAGAGACTCTGAGGGTCTAGGGCTCGGGTGGAGATTCGTTTTCACGTTGGTTCCCAGTCTAAGGGCCGCGGACAGGGGGGAACCTTCTCTTCTAAGGAGAAGAGAGGTAGTCTGTTGGGAACGAAGACCTGGGCCCTACACGCTTCAGCCCTCCGGTTTGAAGGCAGTCTTTTACCCAACTGGGGTTTGGCCGACTCTTTGTCAGCTTCCTGTAATAACTTTTGTTGTACTTGTGGCTTGGGAATTTAGAGTCAGGCCATGGTTCCTCCAGTTTCTGGGTGACCGAGTGCAAGTCATCCAGCCCTCCTGCGTCCGAATTCCCGTAATTAGACATCTAGGGTAAATATTACCTTTTAAAAGCTAACATGAGAATAGATGCCACACTCCGTAACGCTCAGCATGTGCTGCCGCCAGGTTCTTGAGTGCTCAGGGTTTCCTCCCCAGTTTACAGTAGGGAAATCGACGTTTAGGAGTTTGCGTTCAGGGTGCTCACCTCTTACTGACTTCTGGCCCCAGCCCCCTAAAGGGGGCAGTGAGAGGGGAAGATTTCACATAGAACCTCGATTCTGCCCCCTCGTTGGTTTCTGTTACCTTCAGCTAATCAGGGTTTATCTTAAACGTTAAATGAGCACTCGAAGCACAGAGGACTATTGAGCACTTAACAAGTTCTCAATCCGAATTGAGAACTGCTGTTTAAGTGTCGAACACACCGGTTTTCCTTGATTAGTGCGGATAAAAAGAATATGTTTATATATATATATATAACATATATGTATATATATAATGCATGTTGAAATGGTGGTGGTTTGGGTTAAATCTATACTGTTAAAATTAATCTCATGTGTCTTTTTTTACTTTTTAAATGTGACATCTAGAAATGGCTTGCATTATATTACTGTTGGCCGGCTCAGCATCCAGTAGATGTTTGAAGTAATTTTCGACTCTGCAATTTTGTGTTTTTATTAGAGCGTAGGCGGTCTCGGTCCACGTCCCGGGAAAGAGAACGCAGGCGCCGAGAAAGGTCCCGGTCCCGGGAGCGAGATCGGAGAAGAAGCCGCTCTCGCTCCCCACACAGAAGGCGTTCCAGGTAAGTGCAGCAGAACAGAAGTTTTACCACAGCTGCGCAGTCGCTGCCCTTGACTTTGTTGTTACCGCTTACAAAGGGACTTACCGTTTCATGACATCAGCGGAACTTTATCCCACTTTATTCTAAACCTAACATTCCTATTGGTAAAATGGGGTTGATAACATTCCACATAATAGAGTTGCCTTGAGGAGTAAATGAGAAATCATACATGAAAAGCACTTAGCAGGAGTAAGAAGAAATAAGCGTTTTGTATATTATAGTCTTATTTTTTTATAAACTTTTGGTGATAATAGTTTAGTCAACCATATAATCAAGAGTGTGAGATCTTGGAAGAATCTTAGAAGTGGACTCTGATTCTTAATAACCATCAAACACTTTTTTTTTTCTTTTTTCTGCCTTACAAAAACGTTTTTAGCCTAGCTATACTGAGTGTAACTGATAATTAAACAATAAATAATTTTTTGTTAATAGTCAGGGCCTAGGCAGAACTTTCTTCCTCATTCTGCTTTGGGGAACAAATTCCTTTCTCTGGAATCCGGCCTTTACCTTTCATGCACTCATGTTTATCTGTGCTCGTCAACACAAGTCACCAGGTATGTCTCTGTTTCTGACATCTTTCCTTATTAAATATTAGGTCTCCAAGACGACATAGATCCACATCTCCTTCCCCTTCTCGACTGAAAGAAAGAAGAGATGAGGAGAAGAAAGAAACAAAAGAAACAAAGAGCAAAGAACGTCAGATAACTGGTAATATTAGATAAATAACTGTAGGAAATGGACAGCCTTGTTTAGAAATTCAATTATAAAATTAAGTATAATTTTTGAACATTTAGCTCTTTAAGTTTTTGACAGTATTCATTAGGGGCTTCCCCGGTGGCTCAGTAGTAAAGAATCTGCCTGCAGTGCAGGAGACACACGTTCAGTCCTTGGCTTGGGAAGATCCCTTGGAGGAGGAAAAGCAACCCACTCTGCTCTTCTTGCCTGAAAACTCCCATGGACAGAGGAGCCTGGCGGGCTACAGTCCATGCCATTGTGAAAGAATCAGACACGACTGAGTGCACACACACACACAGTGTTCACTGCATATGGTTTTGAGATTTTGTTTTAATTGTACCCTAATTACTAGTTATTTGGTGCTCTTGATACAGGAAGGACAGTTAAAAACATGAACATATTCTATTTTGGAAGTATCTTCACTGTCTGATGTTGAAGGTGGTCCTTCCTAAAGATGCCAAGCATATCCTTTTAAGCAATCTCTTACAATGGAGGATGGAGACCACACTTCTTCCTTGCACCTTAAGTTATCTTCTATCCAGTTTGAGGGATTTTTCATTAAATTCAGGTCTTTAGCTAATTGTTTAGTATATTCTCTGCTGGTAAAGTGGAACAGCTATTAATTTATTGCCAGTTCTCTTTTTTATGTATAAAATTAGTTTAAAATGTATCACTTATTTTTGTAGAGGAAGACTTAGAGGGCAAAACAGAGGAAGAAATAGAAATGATGAAGTTAATGGGATTTGCCTCCTTTGACTCCACAAAAGTAAGTAAAACATGTAGCCAGTCAAGTATTCTTAATGTGAATTGATCTGCCCCATTTTTCAATATTCTTTTACTATCACTTGTAATTTCTTCCAGTGATAACAAGTTTATTCTGTTAGAAGACAGTAACTATTTGTGTGAAGGGATTTGAAAGCAAAGGAAGTTGTGGGCTGCCATTGAAATTTAGGGAGTATTTGCTTGGGATATTTGAATTAGATCTTAAAGGGCCAGTAGAGGTGATCAGACAAAGAAGAGGAGGAAGATCATTTGAAGTAGAGGGAAAAGCTCACAGAGATGCCCTGTCAGCGTGAAGCAGCGTAGAGTATTGGAGGAGGTTCAAATTCAGTGACTAGAGAAAGGGTGTTGATGGGCTGGTGACTATAGATGGGGCTAGAAATAGAGGTAGGAGGCAAATCACGGAAGGCTGATATCCTTAGCCATACTGAGGAATATAAGTTGATTATTTTGGTGATGAGAGGAAGCAATGGTTTTTAAGCAAGGGAGCAACAGAATATATGTATGTTTAGAAAGATGACCTGAGACCTCATGGAGGACAAACAAAAGACTGGGAGAACTGCCCAGTCATGCAGTGAAAGATGATGAAGGTCTGACTTGAGGAGAGAGGCTGGAATACTGCAAACAATTCAGAAGCAAGAGTTAGTGGTGGTGGGAATGGAGGTGAGTAGTCAGTGATGACTCTGAGGTGTCAGGCTGATAGGGTTAACCAAAGAAAGGATTGTAGGAAAGGGAAGTGCTATGAAACAGAATGAAAAGCAGCTGCCAGATAAAGATGGCGTTGCAAGCTGCATACATATCTCATAACTCAAAAAGAGGGATTGACAGGAATTTGAATGCTCTCTAGCCCTGACCATCGTATTGAGAAGAATAAGGAGGTGGGGAGGCAAAAGAGGGAAGGGTTGTGGAGTGGGAGGTGGGGTAGAGAGAAATAGAGCAAAGGGGAGATGGAGGGAGAGAGGAAATTGAATGAAGAGAGAAGGGAGGAGAGAGAGAGGAAGCTATTAAGAATAGACAAGGAGAGTGTGTGTGGAGAGAAAATATATTTTTAAAACTTTCTTTATAGAATTTTAAGTCCTTTTCATTTTGCAAGTAGAAGTTGCAGTCTCTGAGGAGGGGTGTCAAAAGTAATCCACTTCCCCTAATCTTGTGTTCCATTATGTCATGAATGGAGTAGGGTAATCGCAGATGCTCTAAGAGCATCTAACTAATGTTATTCTGTAGGATTCCCATGTATTTTTTAAATGACAGTGTGTGGCCTAAGAGGAGTACCAGAGGCATGACTGTTTTGAGGTGAGAAAATTAAGACTGAGCTTTTTGATTCTCACAAATGGTTATGTGAACCCCATTTTAAAATTTAATGCAATTTCTGTATCAGGTTTTTTTCTTGACTATACCAGTTCCTTGTTTGCTATTCCAATGAGGGTTTTGTAAGTAAACTGGTTTATTAATACATATATTGGATGAATAAAAATATTTTCAAAATGAGACAACTAAATTTCACTGTTTTTAGAAGAATAGTGAAGGACCTTATTAGAATTCCTGGTTTTTTGTGGTTTTTTTGGTTTTTCTATTGCCTGACATTATGTTTAGAATTCTTGAGAATCACATGTAAAGATGGAGCCACTACTTCTAAATGTAGTCTGTGCTGAAGATGTTTGTTTATAAAGGAAAAATTAGGTGAGAATTTACAGATTCCATAAAAACTATGGAGTACCACAAGAACAAATGATGTCAGTTTTTTTTTTAATGACATCGGCAAGAATGTTAATTCATACGCAGTTGGCTTCAGGACTGTCAGTTATAGTTTCTCAGCTCATTTGTATTTTTTAGTAATATGTATCTTGTAATATTTCATCATCATTCTATGGTGGAACCTCTTCAAATGCCAAATTAGTCACTTATTTTCCCTTCTATTTTAACATTCTAAAAAATTTCAAAGTTGGTTTTGTTTATTTATGGACAAATTTTCTATTCCAACATGTAAATGAAAAGAGAGCTAAAAAAAAAAAAGAGCTGAAAATATACAACTCTACAAATAATTTTCAAAAATCAGTTAGCTTTCAGTAATTGAACTTAGTAAAAAAAAGATTAATGGACTTTCCTGGTGCCTCAGTGGTAAAGAATCAGCCTGCTAAATGCAGGAGACTTGAGTTTGATCCCTGGGTGGGGCAGATCCCCTGGAGAAGGAAATGGCAACCCACTCCAGTATCCTTGCCTGGGAAATCCTGTGGACAAAGGAACCTGGCAGACTATAGTCCATGGGGTTGCAAAGGGTCGGATGTGACTTAGTGACTAAACAACAACAGTGTGATGTTACACATGGTGATCATGTAGATGTTATCATCATGATTAGACATCGTGATAAATGGAGGGTAGAAAATGAGGGAATTGTGAGGAAAGCACAGTTAACATTCTGTGGGAGTTAGAGAAGAGAGCTCTTCCTAGCAGCTGGGTCATTTGACGTGGGCCTTGAAGAATGCATAAGAACCAGACGGTTGAAGATTGGATGGGAGTTAAGAAGGCAGTTTAGGCATGAGGGACAGAAAGTGGTGAGTTCATTTTGCTGAATCAGAAGACCCATAAAGGAATTAATGAAAAAGAAAGTCTGAGATACAAGTGATACAACATTAGTACCTGTTACCCTGATTCTTGATTTAAAAATCAAAATTTCAAAGCCTATGCAAGAAATGGGATTATATACGAATGGTGACTGATTTGAGAATCCCATCAGTTCAGGTCATAAGTTAAATTTTTGTGAATATGAATTTTTCTAGAGGAGATACCCATAACTTGTATTTGGTTTTGAAGAATGCTCTGACCAGAAAAGGTGAGGCTCTGCTACCTACTTTCCCTGCATGCCTTGCACATAATACATATGAGTGTTTGTTGGTTTGAATATTGGTATTTGCTTATATGTGACTAAAAATGTGAACAGAGTTATAACACTTGGAAGTTCCTGGGATATCATCAGGATCTGAAAATTCTTTCAGTCATTGGACTATGTCATGCTTAAATGAAATCTTGCCATTAAAGAGGTCTGTGGAATCCAGCTCTTTGATCAAGTCATTAACTATATTCTTTCTCTTGTGTGTTGTTTGTTTGTGTCTGTGTTTTGGTTTTTGTTTCTTGCTTTTCTCCAGGGGAAAAAGGTGGATGGCTCTGTAAATGCCTATGCCATAAATGTGTCTCAGAAGAGAAAGTATAGGTATGCAGAGCTGCCATTATTATGTTTGAATATTATATTATAATTATATTATTAAATTATATTAATTTAATTATATGCTCGGGAAAGAACTGGTTTCAGGATAATCATGTTTGTAGGAAATGTAGCCGTTTTCTATACAATCCCTTACTTTAGTGAGGTTTCCATATTTTTCCTTGATTTAATCTTCCTTGTTTATATTGTTGTATGTTAAAATAATTTTAAATTTACCTGTGAACCAGAAACTATTACAGAGAAAGGGTAGTTGGCTTAAATATTTTAGATTATAAGTAGTTCTTTCTTCAAAATAGCATAATCTCTAGTCTTTAGACTTTAATTTTATTAAAATTATAGGTTTTAAAATAGATTCCTCCTGAATTATCTATCTAAATTGATTATGTAAGGATTTCAACTATAAATACCTTTCTGTTAAGTATAGGCATATTTTATTAACACCACAAAACAAACCAATCCATACTTGAAATCTCAGTGCATGATCAGGAAAGTCAAGACATCTTCAAACATTGTCTTTTTCTCTACATTTATCACTTCAGTTAATTTAGACTAATACTTCAGTTAATTTAGGAATATGAATAGTGTGATTTGAGACTGCTGTGAGTTAAAATACTAGAATCAACAGTCCACTGTAAAATTACCTTCAAATAAGGTCTTATGGGGAGAACTAGTACAGTGTGTAATCAGATTTGCTTGATAGGTACCCATTTGAAACTCTTCTCTGTTTTCCTTAAACTTGGTAGTTGTTTAGTGTTACTTAAATGTGGATTTTCAACTGATTTTTTTTTTAAGTCTGTAGAATCTTCCCAAATAATACTGAAAATATATTTCCATACTTTTGTTTAGATTTTGACTTTCAATACTTATTGCCCTAGATGTTGCCATTTTAGAAATAGTTTATAGTTTTAACTTCTGAAGCATATGATTATTTCTTTTATAAGACAAACCCACAATTTTTTTAATAAATAAATTTTCTCATCATAGGCAGTACATGAATCGAAAAGGTGGATTCAACAGACCTTTGGATTTCATTGCATGAGCTGAATTGTTGAAGAATGATGTTTTTTCCCTCATCTTAAGAACAGTGGATTTTTGTATTTAATATGCATCAAAAACAGGATCACAGTCCTTCCTCCTTGTAAAGTAAGAAAATTTTATTTATGATGTGTGTAGTTCACTTACCCTGCCTCAAGAAAAAAGTTAAATATTACATTTTTTTCCTTTAGGAAATATCATTTGGGGCAGTCATCAACCCCATTTTTTTGTCCTTATTCCTATGGAAACTGTATATGTTTTTCTCTTGGATGTTCTTTATGACTTTTTAAAATACATAAAAGTGATTTGGAAGTAAGTTTCTCAAATAAAGCAATAATTTCTACCCTTTCGTATTTGACATTTTTATAACTAGAAAAAAAGAATCTCCCTACACATTTTCTTTTTTCATACATAGATTTAGATATCATGATTCTTCATAGGTTTAAAAATTAGAATATTGAAAAAAAATATAACTGGATTTTTTGTGTCTTCTGTGTTTTTTGCCCCCTGCCCCAATACCATATTTCCCCAGTTGAAAAGCAATACATGCTTATTCAGTTCAGTTCAGTTCAGTCACTCAGTCGTGTCTGACTCTTTGCGACCCTATGGACCTCAGCACGCCAGGCCTCCCTATCACCAACTCCCGGAATTTACCCAAACTCACGTCCATTGAGTTGGTGATGCGATCCAACCATCTCATCCTCTGTCGTCCCCTTCTCCTCCTGCCCTCAATCTTTCCCAACATCAAGGTCTTTTCAAATGAGTCAGCTCTTCGCATCAGGTGGCCAAAGTATTGAAGTTTCAGCTTCAACATCAGTCCTTCCAGTGAACAACTAGGACTGATCTCCTTTAGGATGGCCTGGTTGGATATCCTTGCAGTCCAAGGGACTCTCAAGAGTCTTCTACACCACAGTTCAAAAGCATCAATTTGTCGATGCTCAGCCTTCTTTATAGTCCAACTCTCACATCCATACATGACCACTGGAAAAACCATAGCCTTGACTAGACGGACCTTTGTTGACAAAGTAATGTCTGCTTTTTAATATGCTGTCTAGGTTGGTCATAACTTTGCTTCCAAGGAGTAAGTGTCTTTTAATTTCATGGCTACAATCACCATCTGCAGTGATTTTGGGGCCCCCAAAAATAAAGCCAGCCACTGTTTCTACTATTTACCCATCTATTCGCCACGAAGTGATGGGAGCGGATGCCATGATCTTAGTTTTCTGAATGCTGAGCTTTAAGCAAACTTTTTCACTCTCCTCTTTCACTTTCATCAAGAGGCTCTTTAGTTCTTCACTTTCTGTCATAAGGGTGGTGTCATCTGCATATCTGAGGTTATTGATATTTCTCCCGGCACTCTTGATTCCAGCTTGTGCTTCTTCCAGCCCAGTGTTTCTCGTGATGTACTCTGCATATAAGTTAAATAAGCAGGATGACAATATACAGCCTTGACATACTCCTTTTCCGATTTGGAACCAGTCTGTTGTTCCATATCTAGTTCTAACGGTTGCTTCCTGACCTGCATACAGGTTTCTCAAGAGGCAGGTCAGGTGGTCTGGTATTCCCATCTAAATAAAAAACACCTTGGGAGAAATCAGAAGGTAGGGGAAAAAACCAAAAATCACCTATAATCTACCCCCAGAATGTTAACATTTTGGTATTTATATTTCCAGGCTCCTATGGGTGTATATTTCTTGCCCCTAGCCAAAGAGATCAGATGCTGCTTTCTTTGCTGATCCTTTTTCTCCCATGTAGTGTGAACATTTGTTAAATGCTCTTATAAATTCTTTGGAAACTTAGGTTTTAGTGGCTACTTGGTTATACTGTAATTTATTAACTAATCTTTTATTGGTGAACATTGGCTTCCCTTCCAAGATTTGCTGTTATAATTAAAGCTATGAGTAGATTATTTAGGAGTAAGGGAAAAAAAGCAAAACACAACACCCATGAAGTAGTATCCCTGTTGCATGTATCTTTTTGTACAATTGTTGCCTTATTTGCTCCTGTTTAGTTCTTGGAGGTGGCATTGCTGGGTGAGAGAAAGGTGCATGCTTTACCCTTTATGTGCATGCTTAGGCTTTTGATACATGTATGGTTAGAAGGCTAATACCTAAGCATCACCAGTAAAGTATGAGCATTCCTGTTTTGTATACGTGTACCAATATTGAGTGTTTTTTTTTAAGCTTCCAGTCTGATGGTTAAAATAATGGTATTTGGTTTTGTTTAGCTTCTAAGGAAGATGTATGTTTTTAGAATGTATTAGCCATGTATATTTCTTTTGTGAAATACTAATTTCAAACCTTGGCTCCATTTATCTTTCAACAAGCTTTTCTTTTTCTTATTTGAAGGAGTCTCCTTTTCTAATGACCACTACCTATTCTGTTTCCTGTCTCACTGATATTTGAGGCTTTGTGGCTAGATTTTTAATTTGGGGGGTGCTGGATGTTGAGTAACCAATGTAAACACATGGAACACAATATGATGAGCTAACTGTATCCTTTTGGAGATATTCCATGAATACATAAGCATATAATTTATATGTATATGTGTCTTTTATTACTCAAATTTAAGCAAACTTTACACTCAATTTTGCACCTATTTTTTCACTTACTACCACATCTTAAGATTGTTTCTTATCAGAGTAGGTAATACTCAGTTCAGCTCAGTCACTCAGTCGTAGCTGACTCTGCGACCCCGTGGACTGCAGTTGGCCAGGCTTCCCTGTCCATCCCCAACTCCTTTTCTAATGATTTTATTTGTTTTATTTTTGGCTGGGCTGGGTCTTTGTTGCTCTGCAGGCTTTTTTCTAGGTGCGGAGAGTGGGGGCTACCCTGTAGTTGTGGTGCATGGGCTTCTCACTGCAGTGGCTTCTCTTGTGGCTCTCAGGCTTCAGTAGTTGTGCCTCTGGGGCTCCAGAGCACAGGCTCAATAGTTGTGGTGCACAGGCTTATCTGCTCCACGGCACATGGGATCTTCTCAGATCAGGGATCAAACTGTGTCTCTGTCATTGGCAGGTGGATTCTCTTCCACTGAGCCATCAGGGAAACCTTATTGCCTCTTTTTTTAAGGGTAGCAATTATAGTTCGTTAAATGCGCTACATCAGCTGTACAGCCTGTAGTACCCACTGCACAAGTGTCACTACCCCAAGCAGTTGGGTTATTTTGCTTAGACTTTTTGCCAAATGAGTAGATTCCCATATCCTGACCATCCAAAATACAGCCTATCTGTAAAGTATCTGCGATAAGGACTGTTTCTGACCACATTTGTGCACATCTAAAGAAAAGCACACCCAGTTGTCTTATTGGGAAGCTAAAATTTCTGGAATGAAATAATATACTCCAAATCAAACAATGGGTATTTAGATTGTCATTTTAGTGTGGTGTTCGGTATGATTGTCATTTCAGCACGCTAACTTGAGATCCTCAAGACAGCATACTTTGTAAAGAAATAATCTGAGAATACCTAGTAGAGCAATAGGTTCACTCTCTGTGAGCTAACACCAAAGAAATGGAAGAGGAAGAAATCTTTAAAGATCTAGAGATGAGATCAAGTCTTGCTTTGAAGGAACTTTTATCCATCAGATCATCTGGTTCTGTAAGAATAACAAAGATGGAGCATTCTTGTCTTCTTCTAACAGGCTGCTCCTCTCAGAAGACATAAATTCTGCCAAATCTTCTAAGTATCCAAATGTCAGAGTGCTCCAGGGCCCAGCCCCTAGACTCTCCTGTCTGCCTCTGGTGAGTTATCCCTTCACAAAGCGTCAAATGTCTTCTGCCATGGCTCTCCATTGTATACTTCTAGCCTTACTGTTTCACTGAATTCCAGTCTTGTAGATGCACTTGGATTAGTAGGCACCTCAAATTTGAGATGAATTGACTTCTCATTTCCCTGCCCAGTCATCTTCTCTCAGGCTTCCCCATCTCAGTGAGTGAACTCTCCATTTACACCTTTGCACAGAGTGAAACTCCCTAGGCTCATCCTTCGCTCCTCTCTTTCTCCTGTGCGGCACATTTGATTCATTAGAAATCCCTTCAGCTCTAAGAGAGTATATTTTGAATCCAACCACTTTTTTCCCCCATATTTATTGGGATATAATTGACAAATGCAAGTTTAAGATATTTAAAGTGTATATTGTGGTGATTAGATGTACATCAAATCTGACCATTTTTCACCCACCTATACTAACAGAAGCCATCTCTAATAGATTTCCTTCCTTCCCTTCTGCCTCAGTTTATTCCCTACCTAGCAGCAGAGTGAACCTTATAAATGTACATCTGGTCATTGCTTCTGGCTCTGATGGCTTTCTGTCATTTAGAGTGAAGGCCAGTCCTTACTGTGGGTCAACACATCTGTATAGTTTGGACTGCGGCTTCCTGCAGCCTCACCCCTTGCTACTGCATGCAGCCACACTACTTGCCTTTTTGCTGTTCCTTAAAAATAGATATGCAAAAAAAAAAAAAAAAGATATGCATCTACCTTAAGAGTCTTCCTACTTGCCTTTCCTCCTGGAATGTCCCTCCTCTCCCTCCTCCCACCTCTCAGATTTACATGGTTAGCTTCTTTATATTGTTCAGGTCACTGCTTAAAATAAGGTCATTCCTGACTACCTTGTCCAAAACAGCAGCCTCCCTCTCTATCCTTTTACCCAGTTTTACTCTTTTTTATTTAGCTTTTTTTATTTTATTTTATTTTATTTTATTTTATTTTTTTTATTTTTTTTTTTTAGCTTTTTAAAAATTGAAATAAAATTCAACCTATTAAAGTATATCATTTCAGAGACTTCCCTGGCGGTCCAGTGATGAGGACTCTGCACTAACTTGCAGGAACTAAGATCCCACAAGCCCCATGTGGCATGGCCAGAAATAAATAAAAGTATACCAGTCAGTGGTTTTAGTATATTGACAGAGTTATGTATTTATTGCCAGTAATTCTAAAATATTTTCATCATCCCCAAAAGGAACTCCATGCTCATTAACAGCTGCTTCTCATCCCTCCCCATCCAT